GCCCAGTGGTTTTTGAGTTATGTTAATCCCACAAACGAACATTACATTTTTATTTATATAGATTATGTTAGATGCAAGTTGAAGGTACAGTTAGAATGTATTTAAAAACACACCGTTTTTAAAAAACTTGTCATTACTGCTAAATGTCCCTTGACCAGAGGCTGGCTACTTGGAGTGCCTCTGGTGTCGCTGTGCATGTGGCAGGGCTCAGGTTGCATTGTAGTAGGTGGTCTGTGGTTTGCTCTTCTCTGCACTCACATGTCGTGGACTCCACTTTATGGCCCCGTTTCTTAAGGTTGGCTCTGCATCTCATGGTTGTCAATTCTGCTGTGTGCTAGTAAAAGAACTATTTTGAATGGGTGTAAATGTCTTCTCATCCACTGGAATCATACAGACAGAATAGTCTTAAGAGCTCCTGCCAACTGGCTCCTGAGAAAAATGAATACTTAATGTGAACACACACTGCTAGGTAGAGAGGAAACTAGTTTTGCTAGATGGTTTAGATCAGGGGTCCTCAAACTAAGGCCCGGGGGCCGGATGAGGGCCCTCCAAGGTCATTCACCCGGCCCTCGCTCAGGGTCAACCTAAGTCTGAAATGACTTGAAAGCACACAACAACAACAACAACAACAACAATCCTATCTCATCAGCCAATAAGTTTATATTTGTTAAAATTGTTCTTCATTTTAATTATTGTATTGCTTTTAAGTGTTTTTTGCACTACAAATAAGGCATGTGCTGTGTGCATAGGAATTCATCGATGTTTCTTTTAAATTATAATCCGGCCCTCCAACAGTTTGAGGGACAGTGACCTGACCCTCTGTTTAAAGTTTGAAGACCCCTGGTTTAGATGCTGAGATTTCTCTGGCCCATTTACTTTCTCAGCCTTCTGGCCTGGATGTATGAAGATCACCGAACCCACCAGAACTGCACTTTCTGACAGCTGCTTTTTAAAGTGTTTCTCAGTCTTTCTGTTTGATGAAGTTAAACTAGAATTTGAACTGAAATGGCCCATGTGCAGAGGCTCTACCACTGAGCTATAATCTTTCTCCTATTTCTTTAAGCTTGGTTGGGAGTAGTGTGTATCAAAGATACTCATTTTGTATGAAACCAGAATAGGATATTTCTGTACATTCTCATGTGCCCTTCTTTATTGGATCGAGCATCTTATTGAGAAATCCTCTTTTTAAAAAGTAAGTTATACAGTCTAACCTTAGTTGAAGTGAAGCTGACACAGGGGGCTTATGTTCAAATTCAGGGGCCTCTTCCTTAAACCAGTTTAAACTGTTAATGGTTTCAGTCAAATTCTGCAAATCTACATATCAGTATTAATTGTATGGGGATTCTCTGAGAAAAGGCATAAATAGTAAGTCTTGTATGTTCAGCAGATAAACAACCTCTCTGTCTGTAATGTGTTGTTACAACACTTTATTTCTGGCTTGCTTTGCAATCTGACAGGTACCTGAATGGGCCTTAGAGCTATGGCATCCTTCTGAGAAGGCAATGTATCCTGATTACTTTGCCAAAAGAGAGCAGTGGAAGAAATTGCGAATGGAAAGCTGGGAAAAAGAGGTATGTATCACTTCTATGGTAAACATACTGCCACCTAGATTTATTCTTCTGTGAAACATTAAATGAAACAAGAAATGAGAATCCAATACCATTTAGAACAATGCTATTCACAATGCTCATATGTGGACAAGTGCCAGTCTACACGCTAATGACAATTGGTTTGTGGCAAATTTCCAGTTGTGGCCAATAGGCACGAATATGGTGCTGGTCCCTAGCACGTTGAAGGGGCGAAGGGGCTTCTATCAGTCATTTGTAGTCTTCTACATTTGCAGAGTTTCACTTTAGAGGGGTTGAGTATTCACATATGTGATTAATGCAATATCTCAAGATCTTTTAGCATAATTCTGCAGTCACTTTTTGGAGGACCTTTAGATTCCTAGAGAGGTGTTTTCTCGGATTTAAAGTAGTGTTTCATTTTTATTTGTGGTTTTTCCTTTATTGTGGTAGTTTTGTACCCCTAACCCCAGTGAACTATAGGTTAGCAAGACAACAAATGACTTGGCTTTTTGCCTGGCTTCTGCTGTGAGGTCTATGAACTTGCTTACTGGCTTTACTTTGAAAGATCGTTCTCAAAATAAAGGTGTAAATGCCCCATTTGTCACAAGCAACATGGCTAGCGCTTGTACTGTACTATTTTTGCTATGTTGATTTGACCAAATTCTTCTCTTTGTTGATTTTACCACATCAACCTCTTTCCCTTATTCAGCCTTATATCTAAACTCTTTTGAGTGTTTGCTCAGGGACTAGCTCACTTTCTGCAGAGTTTCAGTACTTTTTTAATGGTAAAAAGATAAACGTTTCCCTTTGACATTAAGACTAGTCGTGTCTGACTCTGGGAGGTGGTGCTCATCTTCATTTCTAAGCCAAAGAGCCGGCATTGTCCATAGACGCCTCCAAGGTCATGTGGCCGGCATGACTGCATGGAGCACAGTTACCTTCCTGCTGGAGTGGTACCTATTAATCTACTCATATTTGCATTTTTTCAAACTGCTAGGTTAGCAGAAGCTGGGGCTAACAGCGGGAGCTCACCCCCAGATTCAAACTGACTTTTCAGTCAGCAAGTTCAACAGCTCAGTGGTTTAACCCGCTGGTAATAAGACATTATTAGAAGGGGTCCAGAAGAAGCACCTGAGTTACATGCAAGTTAAATTCAGTGTGAGGCTATCTAACTCCTAATTTGAAGCAAATTCCTTGTCACATTCTAAGATTTGTTTGGTGGTCCCTGCCCGGCAGTACGTTTTTAATAAGAGAGTTGTGACTAAGTCTGGAGGTTACAGTTTGGCTGTCTCCTGGAAATGCCAGACGAGTTCAGCCTGGTGGGTGAAGGGGCCCTCAGTTTTGTCTCCGGTCATTGACTTTGGTGACTTCACTCTCATCTCTAGATCCAGCAGCTTCAGGAGGAAACCCCTGCAGGCGGCCCTTTGACAGAAGCCCTGCCTCCAGCTCGCAAGGAGGGGCACCTTCCTCCTCTGTGGTGGCATATTGTAACCAGGCCTCGTGAGCGTCCCATGTAAATGGCTCCTTTCCAAATGGAAGTTCTGTACCTCCTACAAAAGAGGTTCTGGTCTACCAATACTATGTCCGTAACTGTTACTATAGCAGGTATTCACAATAAAAGTCTCATGAATATGAACTCGTGATGTTGGGGCAGTTGTTATTATATCCCACTTTTTCTCAAGAGACACAGAAATACAATTGGCTTTGAATACAACCTCTGCTGTGGGATAAGCACTTCTTGTGAAGTATTGTCAAAACAAGCAAGGGCCTTGTGTCTCTGATAAGAGAGCCTGAACACTTGAGTTATGTAACCTCTCCACCTGTCTTCTGAAAAGCGTAGCCCCGGGTCTCTTTTGTGAACTCGTACCACTGCCAAAAAAAGTTACACAATTGAATTTTCAAAGGTTTAAATGGTTTGCATACCACTGCAAATCTATTGGTTTTGCTTGACACAGCTGTATCATCACAGGTCACTTGAAAGTAATAACCTCATGTTCCAGGCCACTGTTCATTCAAAGGTTATGTATACATCTTATTCTAAAGTGGAGGCATCTACATAGTATTTCCGGGAGCTCTTGTTATCCAATGGGTGCACTCATTAGTCTCAGAAAATCAATTTCTCTGTAAGTTTGAGGTGTTCTATTGGGAGGGAATGTATGTATTTGGGATTAAGGTGGGAAAAGATAAAAATATTAATCATTCACCTTTTTAAAATGCACCAGTTATAGAAATGATGTGTCAGTAATGTGACTCAATTATTAATACGATATAAAAGTTCTTAGCTGCTTGGATTCATGGACTGCTAGTAAAGTTATTCCCAATGCAGAAAGGAAGGCTATATGCACTGTGATTACAGTACATTATTATTATTATTATTATTATTATTATTAGTCGTCCGGAGCGACTGAGAAACTGCAAGTCGCTTCTGGTGTGAGAGTATTGGCCGTCTGCAAGGACGTTGCCCAGGGGACGCCCAGATGATTTGATGTTTTTATCATCCTTGTGGGAGGCTTCTCTCATGTCCCTGCATGAGGAGCTGGAGCTGATAGAGGGAGCTCATCCGCCTCTCCCCGGAATCGAACCTGTGACCTGTCGGTCTTCAGTCCTGCCGGCACAGGGGTTTAACCCACAGCACCACCGGGGGCTCCATACAGTACATTATGAAGCAACAGGATATCTATGCCCAACACTGCTGGAGAAATTATACTGTTTAGCCGGTATTGCACTACCTGACATCCGCTGGGAAGTAGCAGCCTATAATGAAAGGACCAAGACTTTGACATCACCAGTCCATCCTCTGTTTGGATATCAGCCAGCATGCCAATGGTTTAACTCACAGGAACACTTCAGCAAGCAAGAGTCCAAAAGTGGTAGGTTAAACCCCGGAACCTCAATCAGTGACTGATACCAGATGAGAAACTTCCCTCTGGGCACACAGAAGACTGGGCGACCTGCAAGGCGCTGAACTGACTGCGCTCTGGCACCACCAGATGCAGAGCCAACCTTAAGAAATGGGGCCACAAAGTGCAGTCCATGATATGCGAGCGTGGAGAAGAGCAAACCACAGACCACTTACTACAATGCAGCCTGAGCCCTGCCACATGCACAATGGAGGACCTCCTTATAGCAATACCAAAGGCACTCCAAGTGTCCAGCTACTGGTCAAAGGACATTTAGTATAATGCCAGGTTTTTATACCTTGTGCTTTTAATATGTTACAACTGTACCCTTGGTCCGCTACTGATACGGTAAATAAATAGAATAATAGAATAATAGAATCAAAGAGTTGGAAGAGACCTCATGGGCCATCCAGTCCGTCCCCCTGCCAAGAAGTAGGAATATTGCATTCAATAATCCTACATGTGACTGTAGCAGAAATCCCAACCAATCTGTCAAATTGGTGTATGTGTGTGAAAGCTCAAAAATAAGACATTTATCAGCAGGTCTTTATTTATAATATAGGCTGAAGCAATCATTACAATGTAGAAGGGCAACACAGTTAACAGCAATTTTTATTTATAGCAGTTCAGAACAAAAACGCTGCATGGGAGAGAGGTCAACTCTCAGTACAAACTAGCAACTAAACCACAATAACTTACCATTAGAAACATTTTTTTAAACGGTGACACTGCTTTTACAATAGGCAAGGAACACAAAGGAAAAAAAATAGACCCAACAGAACTATCCAAAGTGGTTTGTCACGTTTTAACATTGAATTTTGGCAACCGTGTAATAAAATAAATTTAACTTGAGGGTAATTCTAGTGCTTAAAGAACGAAAGAAGCTGCCCTTCTGGGTACAGCTGCATCCAAAAGGTTTCCGAAATGTGAGTTTTGGATGCAATTCATCAGGAATGCCTCCTGCCCAAGCCCCAATGAAGGAAATGGGAGTTACAGAAGAGCCCAAACTGAGCCAGGAAATAATATTGACAGCCTGCATTCTCTTTGTTTGTTCATACATTTTTTTAAAAAAGAATATGTTGAATGAAAATCTCTTGAAGCATCATTTGCAGAACGCATCCGCTATTTCATCAAGACTGACAGGGCTTTTGTACCGCAGGCACCGCTGTTTGTGTTTACGTGTGTCTGTGTCCGTTTTGTAGTAAAGGAGCTTGTTTTGCAAAGACAGGGGAGCTTATCTTTCAGGGATCATGCTTTTTTTTTTGTTTTGCTTCTGAAGCCATAACATAAAAAAGTGTTAAGCAACCACAGCAGTGTAAATGTATATAGAACACAGTGACTAATAACAGTTTTACGATACGTTTTCACATCCAATGCAGTTATGTATTTAAAGCAATAAAGAGGTTATGTAGGCAAGATGGCAGCCAAAAGGAGTCTCCAGAGTGTCCATGGAAGAGTAGATTGTGCGCATACACAAGACCTAGCTCCTTCCACTGCAGGTTGCGCCTTCGCAACTGCAAACACAACAACAGGTCTGTTGTCTGTAATACCGCTTGCGTTGCCCATAGTAGAGATAAGGCAGAAGGTATCCGTTTTAAGATTGCAGAATGTTCTAAAAAATCACAAAACTGGAACGCCTGTGGTGCCTGAGTTATGCACGTTTCGACCGACCTCCTGTGAAGTGGATATATCACAGCAATATTTTTTTTTCATTTTAAGAAAACAAACCCCCCACCTATATAAATGTATTAACAGCATTCCCCTCCTCCCCCAAAATACGTTGCTGAGAACAATAAAAAAGAAAGCAGTGGTCAATCCCCTCCCTCGCTGATAAATAAAACCAAAAAGTGTCTACCCATCCCACCCACATCCCCATAAATCTTGAGAAGTGTTTAGGAAAAGCCAATCCAAAATGACACTTAAGAAAAACAGGCCCCTCAAAAAGAAATGTTTGTAGTCTGACTGGGATTCCCAGTTGGTTGCCCAACAGCTTTTAAGAGTTGTTTCCTCAAAACTATTTGGGGCTTTTCCTGTTTGTTTCTTTAGCTGCCCAGCCTGCTGGGCACAGCCTGTAGAAGGTATAAAGTTAGAATGAAGAACTCCCTGGTATTTCTTTCTTTCTCTCTCTCTCTCTATCAACAATTTAACACATTTCTGTCTTCACTTGTAAATGTATATTGTCGTTTTCGGAAAGGAACAAAAAAGCGAAGCAAGAAAATCTCTTTTTTTAAAGTCTACCTGGTTTAAGATGGGGTGAACTAACTGAAGATGTTGCTTTTGATATTCCGAAAGGGAAAATATTCAAAACCAAACTAAAGAAAACCAGGGAGCAGTCCACAGAGACTTTTCCTGGGCAAGAAATCTTGTACGACCCAATGGGACCATTGCAGAAAAAGTTCCTAGTGGACAGCACCCCAAAATCTTTTAAACACTCTATTTAAACAAACACAGCAATACAATATGGCTTATTTGGACGCGTTTACCATGAAGCTACTGCTAGGCTACTTTTGTGCAACAGTTAAGTCCTCCCCTTTTCCTAACCCCCTAAACACAAACCAGTTACAGGCTTTGCTCTCTCTTCCACTATATATATATATATCTATATATTGCTTTAGCCAATCAGCTGCTGTTTCCTGCTCTTGAAACAAAAACAATTCATTGCTGAACTTCATGGAGGACCTATGTCTCACTTTGTCCTTTGTACAGTAAAGTAACAACTGGTTTCTGGGTCCTTGCTATTGCATGGCAAGGGATTTATTACAACCCTGCAAGAGTGAGAATGCATGGCAGCCTCCCTCCTGCCCCTCCGGTTGAAGTTTAAGCTACTTCATGTTTATTGTAATCTTTCTCCTATGCGATGTAAAACTTTTACAAAGATATATAAAAAAGTTAAATGGGATTTGGCACCTTCAGAAAAAAAAATTAAAAAGGGAACGCTGATTTCTTTAAAAAAGCAGGCAAGAAAAAGAAATCCATATTTACAAAAAAAATGGGGAAGGAGGAGAAACTTACGAGAGAGGAAAACATTGCTCCTTAATGATTTTAGTTTGCAAATTCCCTCCCTCCCTCCACTTTCTAGAACGTCTCCATCTATCTGTTACTGAACATCCTACAAAACCTCCTTGATTGTACAGTGGAATGAATAGAGAGACAAAAGACGGTTTCATCAGGTAGTTCCGAGTCTCTGTGAAGATGGTAACTCTCTGGCAGTGGTCCGGCCTCTAAGAAATGCGGGGTGCTGACCGGTCGTTCGTGGTGGTCTTCTTCAGCTTGACACCGCGGCGAATCGCATTCAGCATATCCTCACCTTGCGGGGCCTCGCTGGCATTTTGGGCTCCCAACTGAGGTGCTGGCTGGCAAGGGGGAGCAGTGAGGCCCGGGCTCCCCCTTTCGCTTTCCTCTCCCTCAATTTCGGTAGTGGCTTGTCTCAGCTCCTCTGTGGCGTTTGGCTTTGGGCCCACAGCAGGAGGGTTGACAGACGCTTGACTGCTCCGTGTTGAGGACGTGCCCACAGCTGCTTGGCTGCTGCTGCTTCCTGCCTCAGGACTAGAAAGCTCAGGGCTTTCTTCTGCTCCGGCCGGCAAACTGGGTAGTCCTCCTGGCAGGTCTGGAACAGTCGGTGTCTTGACCGGAATCACAGGGGTCTTAATGGGAATTGGCCCTGCCCCGATAGTCCCACGTCTGACGGCCGGTTTGGTAGAAGGGGTCCGTCGGATGGTGGCTACGCCTGGGGTCACCATCACGGGCCCAAGCGTGGTGGGGAGGCCTGCTGTGGAAGCAGGACGCTTGGCATGAAACATGCGGCGGTAAGACTGACTGATGTCGCTGTTCCTTGGAATCGTTGAAGACTTGTCGAACTCTTGCTGTTCCGGCTCCTGGTCCCCGCTGACGGAAAAGTAGTCATAATCTGAAACTGAGAGGAGGGAAAAGTTGAGGCAAGAAGCTCCGAGAAAGCAAGACAGTTTGATAACATTATTGTATTCCTTTAAATGCTGTTCTACCTGAATGCAACCAAGGAAGAGATGGGACTGTAATGCTTGCACCAATGGCCCAGGTGAGAGATCACCTGACTTGAGGCTCTAAACCTCCCTGAACCATTCAAACTGGACATTTTAGACACTATGAGTACTAGTTTTCAAGTTTCTTTCTTTTCTATTTATCCTTCCCTCTCTGTCATAGCTAAAAAACATCTCTATTAAATGGGTTGCTGTGGGGTTTTTGGACTGTATGGCCATATTCTAGAACAGTGGTTCTCAATTTGTAGGTCCCCAGGTGTTTTGGCCTACAACTCCCAGAAATCCCAGCCAGTTTACCAGCTGTTAGGATTTCTGGGAGTTGAAGGCCAAAACATCTGGGGACTCCTGTGTTGAGAACCACTGTTCTAGAAGCATTCTCTCCTGATGTTTTGCCTGCATCTATGGCAGCCATCCTCAGAGGTGGTGAGCCTTCGACAATACATCCCTATTAAAACTGAAAAATTGTTAAAATAAATAGACTTCAATGGGTATTCCTGTAGGTAGTAACTCTCTAGCTTGTCAACTGAGCTTTCAGAAGCCATAATGAATGGGATACAATGGCTTAAAATAGTATTAATCAGCAATAATGGCAGCATACTATCTTGTCAGTTTAATAGTTATAATTTTGAGAACCAAGACACTACTTTCAATGCTACCTGAGAGTTGATTTCAATGATTCTATATCTTTTCAAGATTTCATTAGAGTCTCACTTATCCGACATAAACAGGCCACCAGTTGGATAAGTGAAAATATCGAATGATACGAAGGGATTAAGGAAAAACCTATTAAACCTGAGCCTCCTGCCTTCAGTGCCCGTTTCCTTCCTTCGTTCCTTTCCCTCCCTCATCCATAAAGCAAACATTTGGATTGCTGGCGAGAGAGAGAGAGAGAGAGAGAGAGAGAGAGAGAGCCAGGGCAGCAGACAGTCTTGGTGGGGCTCCCCCTCAACCCATGTGGAGGCCGCTTCCCCGAAGCCTCATCTGGGCGTATGGGATAATATAGAATAAGTGAAGGTTGGATAAGCGAGACTCTACTGTACTTTTTATGGTCATGATGTACTCACGTTAAGCTCTTCATCCCCTATGGATTAAACATTTCTCAGTCCATTCATTCTTTTCTTTGTTTAAATAAATATGACAATTTTGAATTTTCAGGAAATTTGCAAAACAAACAGACGATTCGGAGAGGTGCAGCAACTCGTTTGGCTATACTCAAGGAACAATATAGTAAAGATGGGCACGTGAATTCATCCCTTTTTTACCTTGTGAGGGAATGGTGTCCTCTGAACAGCAAGGTGTGGTTGTCTGTGTGCTGTAGCCACTGGAGCACTGCAAGGAATCACGGCTGCTCCTCTGGGTGTCTAGCTGTAGCCCACGGGTTAAAGCGAGAGCCAGCTCTTCACACGCCTCCATCTCCTCTCCTTGCTAGAAACACAATGGAGGCCTCTCATTAGATTCATAACAAGATGGTTGGACAATCCTGACAGTTTGATCTATTGCTGCAATGGCTCTTTTAAAAATATGACTCCACTCAACAGATTGGATCCACACTTGAGTAGATGTATTTTTTATCGTGTCAGACGCAAATTGAAGTTACTTCTGGTGTGAGAGATGTTGCCCATATGTGTTATGTTTTTTTATTTTTTTTTAAACTATTACATTTGGTTTTTTAAATCCTTGTGTGTTATTGTTTATATGTGAGTTATATTCATTGTACTGTTTTTGCTTATTGTATTTTGTTTTATTGATGTGTTGTCAGGCTTGGCCTCATTTAAGCCGCTCCAAGTCCCCTTGGGGAGATGGTGGCGGGGTATAAATAAAGTATTATTATTATTATTATTATTATTATTATTATGTTGGAGGCTTCTCTCATGTCCCCACATGGGAAGTTGGAGCTGACAGACAGGAGCTCACCCCGTCTTGCGGATTTGAACCACRGACCTTCAGGTCTTCAGGTCAGCAGTTCAGATGGCACAAGGGTTTAACCCATTGCGCCACCGCAGCAGATGCATTGAAACCAACAGTGATGCCTAACTTCAATTTAAATCTGGACCCAACGTCAAATTAGCAATTTTTGCTTTGCATGTCATTGATCAGTCCCCACCAAGACTCCCTGAGGTCTTAGTCCACAARAYCTAATACAAAGACCACACAACAAATTCAGATTGGYCACTGCCTTGAAATCTAAATGGATGCAAGATAATAAAGAACAGTGGTTCTCAACCTGTGGGTCCCCAGATGTTTTGGCCRTCAACTCCCAGAAATCGCAACAGCTGGTAAACAGGCTGGGATTTCTAGGAGTTGTAGGCCAAAACACCTGGGGACCCACAGGTTGAGAACCACTGATACAGAAAGTTTTCAGCAATCAATCAAATGAACAAATATGGGCAACCAAATCTCTAAATCCCTTTAATCCCATCTGGTTAGTCCTCCTGTCCAAACTATAGAATGGATTTGAACGGCATATTTGAATATATCTGATTTCATTTTCAGATTAGTGTTCCCACTTGGAAATACAAAGTTAAGGGTGACAGCCTTGAGGTTCCTCAGAAACGTTAGTCAAAGAAGAGTTCTAACACAATAAGCGTTGAGCAGTAGAAGTCTGTGGGATTCAAATGAGAGCTGACACTGCTCATCTTTGCTGGACCCATTTATGTTCAACCATGACACAACCAAGAACAAGAGTCTCACCCTTGGGGCGGTCGACACAGTCATGCTCCGGGGTCTTTGGGCATCTTCGGCAGACAGAGGCGGCCCACTCTGTGCTGCTCCCCCAGCAGAATCCCCTTCTCGCTTTTCCTTGCGGCGTTGCAAAGTGTTTACCATGGGCTGGTCATAAGGACCTGGCTTAGCCCAATCCTATGGAAAAAAATCTGTTAGCCTTACGCTTATACATACGGTGTATGACAACTGAAAATATACATGATGGGCTTTCCCCCAAGATTTAATGGCAATGATTTCATCTCTCCCTGAGACCATGTCTAGCTTTTCTCTCAAACTGCAGAGTGGTACATATTGTTTCCAAGTCTCTCAGATGCTATATTTTAATGTCCATTCTGGATCATTCTGGCATGACTATCCCAGTTTCCCAAAGCCTTGACCTAGCACAGTGGGCTCTGTGAGCAAGTTTTCTGACACAAGACCCTTCAGGGGCTACAGAAATTGGGGAAAAATGGAAAGAAGAAAATCACAAAAGGCTGAAGTCTATTTTAGGTTTTGAAATTTTTGAAATCTATTTATTTTATTTCCAGAAGATATAATCAACCTTTTGTTTTGGCCAGAAAAAGAGTAGTTTGGGAGATTGGAGGGCCCGAGCTTCCCTTCAAATGTGTTTGACTACCACTTTTATTAACTCCAGTCAACAAAGCCAAGCTTAAATATCCAATATCCCATCTGATTTTGAAAGCTAAGCAGTCTCAACCATGGTTAGCATTTGGATGGGGAACTGCCAATTAATACCAGGTACTATAGGCTATATTTCAGAGGAAGGAAGTGGCAAAACAACCACAGAGTATCCCTTGGTTAAGAAAATACCTATTGAAAAAATTCATGGGAGTCACCACAAGTTGACAAGAGACTAAAGGTATTTATGCAGTATAGCTAATGACCATAGTGGCTAGAGACCGATGGGAGTGATAATCTAATACATCTGGAGGCCATCAGGCTTGGGGTGGGGGTGGGGGGTGGGGAGAGAGATAGGCCTGAAACTGGTCTATATTTTCAGAGTCTGAAGGGCAAAGAAGAATTCTCAACTCATATACATGTGGGTGGTAGATAAGTGTAACCTCAAGCAGACCTCTGCTGTGGATCTCTCTTGCTTGGCTCTGATGTTTACCACCTGTCTCTCTGGAGGGAGTTGCATAAACCTTCATTCTTTTTTGGCTTTGGCTTGGTGAGAAGAACTCTCCTATCCAACTGGTCAATAAACCAGACTGAGAGGGCTTTGGTGTCTTCCTAAGAACTGGCACTAAAGAAGAAAGAGCAGAAGGAGGACCTTTGACACAACACAATCATGGTGCTATGACTAACTGCCATGATTTCATCCTATGGCAGTGGTTCTCAATGTGTGGGTCTCCAGGTGTTTAAGCCTACAACTCCCAGAAATCCCAGCCAGTTTACTAGCTGTTAGGATTTCAGGGAGTTGAAGGCCAGAACATCTGAAGACCCATGGGCTGAGAACCACTGTCCTATGGACTCCTAGGGTTGAGTAAATTACATGGCTCTAGAACCCCCAGCTGAGAGTTCTCATCACCCTTGCCCCTGAACTTAAAACAGAAAATAAATGAGCCCAGTCTATGTAAGTCAGGCATGGGCAAACATTCTAACTTGGGGGCCACATGGCGTGCCAGAGAAGAGTGGGTTCTCCCCATGGTGACCGAGAGGGGAGGGTTCTCCCCAGGTCCCCTCCCTGCCCTTTCCTCCCCTTCCTCTTCTCTTTTTGAGGCAGAAAATGAAGGAAAGATGGGAAATGTTTAGATCCCAAAAGGGTTAGCCTTGGTCAGGATGAGATGGTGGATGGGAGAGAAGAAGTGTATCTATTAGACCCTGTATTGCCTACTCTGAGATCAGAGTGAAGAGAGGGGCCATGAAGGCAATTCCATCTTGTCTCCTGCACTGAGCTTAATATAATATAATATAATATAATATAATATAATATAATATAATATAATATAATATAATATACATATAATATAATATACATATAATATTGATAATATTATCATGTAATACAATGTAATATATAATATTAATATTGTGCTATAATATATTTTGTTTACTTTTTACTGAGTCCCCTTCGGGGTGAGAAGGGCGGCATATAAATGTTGTAAATAAATAAATACTCCTGATATAGAATCCTATAATCTTAGAGCTGTAAGAGACCCCCAAGGGCCATCCAGTCCAACCCCTGTCATGCAAGAAGACATATCAAAGCCCTCCCGATAGACAGCCTCAGCGGAAAGGCTTCCAGAGAAGGGATTCCACCACACTCCCAGGCAGACTATGCCAATTACTTTCCAACAGCTCCTACTCTCTGGAAGTTTTTCCTAATCTTTTCAGTCAAATCTCTTTCTCTGCCATTTGAAACCATTGCTCCCTTGTGCCCTGGTCTCTAGAAGAGCAGAAAGTCAGTTTGCCCTCTCCTTCCTCCTCAATGGGAAACTCCTTTAAATCTCAAAGGTTGGTTGCCAAGTTTCCCCTCTACCTTCTCTTGTCCCAGCTAAACATCCTCCAGGAGGAAAGGAGGAAGGAAAAAGAGAAGGAAGGAAGGGTGGAAGGGAATGGAGGGTGGAGGGAAGGGAGAAGGAAGAAAGACAAAAGGGAAGGAAGAAAGGAGAAAGAGAGGGAAGGATGAAAGGGTTGAAGGGAAAGGGAGAAACAGGGAGATAAGGAATAGAAGGAGGAAGGAAAAAGAGAAGGAAGGAAAGGAAAGGAAAGGGTGGGAGAGGAGAAGGAAGAAAGACAAAAGGGAAGGAAGGAAGGAAGGAGAAAGAGAGGGAAGGAAGAAAGGATGAAAGGGTTGAAGGGAAAGAGGGAGAAACAGGGAGGTAAGGAAGAGAAGGAGGAAGAAAAGAGAGAAGGAAGAAAGGATAGGATGGTGTGAAAGAGGAGGCCCTGAGAAAAGAGACCAAGGAGCTGCATTCGGCCCCTGGGCCTGGGTTTGCCCATACCTGATTTAAGTTGTTTCAAAGAGTGTTCGTGGTACAGTTTGCTTGCTATATTTGCTGCAGAAGTGCACTATCCAAGCATAACAACTCATGTCTGAAGGCCACATCTTTCTCCTTTCAGATTAACAAAAGTGTGTGGGGTAACTTGGATTTGCTCACTGTTTTTACAGTGTGTGTATCCTTCACAACCAATATAGGACGCAAGTTTCTGGTACTTTCAGAAACTCAAGTTCCCAGTTTATCCAAAGTCTAAAATATGATGATCTATGGCACTCAGAAGATTCAGATCTCAGGAAAAGTAGATTTTTCCTTCTCCTCTTCCCACTGACTACTACCTTGCTTTTTACTAATTTATCTGTTGCTTAGATACCAGAGGTCTATCGACATTACATTATGTTCAATACCACTTCAATGATCCTGGCTCCGACCTAATAAAACCTAGGATTTGTAGTTTGGTGAGATATTTGGAATTCTCTGTTAGATAGTTCTAGGGCTATAATCCAAAGGAGGACGCTAAAGATCAGCAAATACTATATATACTCGAGTATAAGCCTAGTTTTTCAGTCCCTTTTTTAGGCTGAAAACGTTCCCTTTGGCTTATACTCAAATCAAAGTTATTTATTATTTTACTCTGTTATTAGTATTATTTTATTACATTTATTATCTTACTCTATTATTACATTTATATTATTTTACTCTATTATTATTTTATTACATTTATTATTTTACTATATATATATTACTGTTTTGATTACATTTATTATTTTATTCTATTTATTATTATTATTACATTTACATTATGTTACTCAATTATTTTTATCGCATTTATTATTTTGCTCTCTTTATTATTATTGGAAGGATATGTAGGCACATTTACACTGAAGAAGGTTAAAATAATGGTTTAATCAGAGTTGGACTGTCTTTATCTTAAATTACAGTTTTATGTCAATATTCAAAAACATTTATCCTACTAACGCCTCAATTAATGTAATTTTATTGGTATCTATTTTTATTTTGAAATTGACCAGTAGCTGCTGCATTTCCCACCCTCGGCTTATACTCGAGTCAATAAGTTATAAGTATATACTGTATATACTGGAGTATAAGCCAACTCGAATATAAGCCGAGACACCCTCGGGTTATACTCGAGTCAATACATTTTCCCAATTTTTTCTGGTAAAATTAGATACCTTGGCTTATATTCGGGTCGGCTTATACTCAAGTACATACGGTAATTGTAAGTAATGTATCAAACTACAAATTCATAAGATGGAACTATAATCAATAATGATTTGCACTATAAAAGGCCAGCTCTTTTTGTTCTGTTTTGGTTTCTAGCAGAGAGACATTCTGGACACGATTTTGTGTCTGGGAGAGAAATAAGAAGAGGAATGAGTTGCCTGCCAATCTTTATCCAGAGATGAAGCCATTTACAAATATTCAGAAAAGAAAACGCAAGGCTTTCAAAATGAGATCATCCCCGAGAAAAAAAAAATTGGCAAGACAACTCTGACATATGGATGCTCTCATTTGGGCCACATCAAAAGGTTGCTCTGCAAATCTCCCGCTGTGAATTCAAGAGTGAGTGAAATTAAGATTCAGCGCCCAATTTCAGTGCACTGCATTGGCAATATAAAACCCTGGTCCTGCTTGTTCAAATAACCCCTAGCTCTCCAATGCAATGATTTATATGGGGAAGTGAGCAGCAAGAGTCCCGTCAGGTCTAGAATTCAGAACAGCATTGAGAGCCAAAGGGATCAGGGAGAAGAAATCAACCAAGAATTCGTGAGATTTCAAAGAAGCAACGTTTCGGCGTAGAGTGGGTTGGGGAGAGGGGAATGAAAAAGGAAAGAGTGTGACAGAAAACAAAAGAAACACAAACCTTCCAGCTAGGGATCTTAGATGATGGTAACATGCCTGGCCCAATGGTGTAATAATGAGCGTAGTCTGGAAGGAGGGTGGAGGAGGAGGCAGCCCGGGTCCATGCGTGAGAAACAGACGGGACATGAGGGGGAGGACCTGCACCAACTGAGGCTAAGGGTGGGCCACTGGACAAACTACAGTGATAATACCCATTAGACAACTGGAAACAAAAAGAAAAAAAAGGGGAAGGAAAGGAGAGAAATTAATGTAAATATAGAACAAAACATGGGCGGGGGGGGGGGGGCGCTATGAGGTGAATCAGGCATGCATTGCTGGAGAGAAAGAAAGGGGGTGAGATGCCCCATGTGAGATCATGTGGTCATTTTTTGCAAGTGAACACCGCACTTCATGCTTTGGTAATGCTGCTGAGATAACATCACACATGCTCCAAAACAAAAGGGGATGGGGAGAGGAAAATCATTCTCAGGCTGAACAGCTCTACACCACTGGGCCAGAGAGGAAATCCTTGCTTGTGGAAGTATGCTAGAGCAGTGTTTCTCAACCTGGGGGTTGGACACAAGGGGGTGTCAGAGGGGTCACCAAAGACCATCGGAAAGCATAGTATTTTCTGTTGGTCATGGGGGTTCTGTGTGGGAAGTTTGGCCCAATTCTATCGTTGGTGGGGTATAGAATGCTCTTTGATTGTAGGTGAACTATAAATCCCAGCAACTACAACTCCCAAATGTCAATGTCTATATTCCCCAAACTCCATCAGTGTTCACATTTGGGTATATTGAGTATTTGTGCTGAGTTTGGTCCACATCCATCATTGGTGGGGTTCAGAATGCTCTTTGATTGTAGGTGAACTATAAATCCCAGCAACTACAACTCCAAAATGTCAAGGTCTATTTTCCCCAAACTCCACCAGTGTTCACATCTGGGCATATTGAGTATTTGTGCCAAGTTTGCTCCGGATCCATCATTGTTTGAGTCCGCAGTGCTCTCTGGGTGTAGGTGAATTATAAATCCCAGCAACTACAACTCCCAAAGGTCAAAGTCTATTTTCCCCAAACTCCACCAGTATTCACATTTGGGCATATTGAGTATTTGTGCCCAAGTCTGCTCCAGATCCATCATTGTTTGAGTCCACAGTGCTCTCTGGGTGTAGGTGAACTATAAATCCCAGAAACTACAACTCCCAAATGTCAAGGTCTATTTTCCCCAAACTCCACCAGTATTCACATTTGGGCATATTGACTATTTGTGCCAAGTTTGCTCCAGATCCAACATTGTTTGAGTCCACAGTGCTCTCTGGGTGTAGGTGAACTATAAATTCCAGCAACAACTCCCAAATGTCAAGGTCTTTTTTCCTCAAACTCCATCCACCAGTGTTCACATTTGGGCATATTGGGTATTAGTGCCGAGTTTGGTCCAGTTCCACCATTGCTTGAGTCTACAGTGCTCTCTGGACTTAGGTGAACTACAACTCCAAAACTCAAGGTCAATGCTCACCAAACCCTTCCAGTATTTTCTGTTGGTTGTGGGAGTTCTGTGTGCCAAGTTTGGTTCAATTCCATCACTGGTGGAGTTCAGAATGCTCTTTGATTGTAGGTGAACTATAAATCCCAGCAACTACAACTCCTAAATGACAATCTCAATCCTTCCCAACCCCACCAATATTCAAATTTAGGCGTATCGGGTATTTATGCTGAATTTTGTCCAGTGAATGAAAATACATCCTGTATATCAATTCCGTGTGCCAAGTTTGGTTCAATTCCAGCACTGGTGGAGTTCAGAATGCTTTTTGATTGTAGGTGAACTATAAATGTCAACAACTACATCCCCCCAAATGACAAAATCCCACCAGTATTCAAATTTGGGTGCATTGGGTTTTTAAAATCATTTTATGTACATGCGGCCCGCTCTCTGTCATTATGTTTCTATGTTTTGGGTATATTGTTTATATGCTTTGATGTTTTATACTTTATTGTTATGTTGTTTATTTTATTGTAATTTGTATTTTTGTATTGTAATTCATCGGACTTGGCCCCATGAAAGCCACTCCGAGTCCCCATTGGGGGAGATGGTGGCGGGGTATAAATAAAGATTATTATTATTATTATTATTATTATTATTATTATTATTATTAGGTATTTGTGCTAAATTTGGTCCAGTGAATGAAAATACATTCTGCATATCAGATATTTACATTCATAACAGTAGCAAAATTAGAGTTATAAAGTAGCAACGAAAATAATTTTACGGCTGGGGGTCACCACAACATGAGGAACTGTATTAGGGGGTCATGGCATTAGGAAGGTTGAGAATCACTGTGCTAGAGAAAGACAGCAAATAGAAATAGTGCTCCAAGGACTAGTGGTTTCCTCCATCAACCAGAGCATCAGTTGGAAGCTTCAATTCAATTCAAGAATGCAAGGAAACGCAGTCTTTCCAAAGCTGTTAACGTGCCTTTTGGGGTTAGTAATTGCACATTCCATCCAAGTGAGAGCAGCAGCAGCTCAGCCTCAGAAAACGCTCCCTTCCAGGAGTAACATAATGGTAGGGGGTGAAGAGGGAAGAAGTTGGTGGCTTTGCCAGATGAGAATGGATCCAACTAGTCACTCGCTCTTGGCTGAGCTCAGCACTGATTCACAGCTTTAATGCTCTAAGATGTTTGAGAGATTTATCCACACTTGGGATTTTAAAAGGAAATTTGGCAAAACGGCCAAGAAAATTCGAGACAGCAAGTTGATTAGACATCTGAAGATACATCATCTCCAAGTTTTGCTTTGCCGGTACGGAAGCCAGCAAGGCCAAACTCAAATACTGACATTTAGCAGGGTATTTCTGGAGTGGGATAAGTGTTATTCTTGCAGGCACTGCATGTGCCACAGAAACACAATAGTGTACTGTATTTCATTGATTCTAAGACATACTTTTTCACATATATTTTTTAGGTCTGCTCGTATGCCCTTCCACAAACGCCACTATCACCTTTTCGTCCATGTCCCAGCATTATTCCCAATTTTAACTTTACATTTGGCCTTCCCACTGTTCTTAATTGTGTGTTGTCTTACTGCTAATGTTGTATATTTTATTGTCTATGTTTTTATTTTAATTGCTTGTACTGTTGTTGTTGTTGTTATTGCTTGTACTGTTGTATTCAGGCTCGGCCTCATGTAAACCGCACCAAGTCCCTTGGGGAGATGGTAGCGGGGTATAAATAAAGTGTTGTTGTTGTTGTTGTTGTTGTTGTTGTTGTTATTTAAGCATCTTGAAAAACAGGATGCGTCTTAGGACCATTATTATTATTATTATTATTATTATTATTATTATTATTATTATTATTATTTAAGCATCTTGAAAAACAGGAGGCGTCTTAGGACCAGCCCAGGAGCTTCCACAGCAAACAGGAGGATGGCTAGACACTGTTCCCTGCAAATATGGAAGCAATCGCTACAAAAGGCAAAAAAAGCAAGATTTCCAGGTGCGGGAATATCACGGTTTTGAGCCGACTATCCGCATCTTCAAATGTCTGTACGTCCCTGCAATTGGAAATCACAGGATTTTTTATCTGGGTTTGTTCCTGGGTTTTAGATGTTTGTTCCTGATTGGTCGGTTCCTAAAAAGAAAGTGACACTTGAATAGGAGGCAAAAACTTTGTTTGTGTGCCAGAAACTTCATGAAATGTGCAAAGGGTACATTTTTTTTCTGACCAGGACAAAGTTGTGGTCCCCTAGTCAATGTAGTACATTTTTTCACAAGAAGAGCCATCAGGAACAGACATGGATAACCCAGGAATGGCACCCTGTTGTTTGATGACACAAATACACAACCAAATCTGTCTGGACAGATGGCCAGGCAGTCAGGTTCTAAAAAGTGTAAATAATGGTAGCACCGGGATTGTGGCGCAGCTGGCTGAGTGTCAGCTGCATTAAGATCACTCTGACCAAAAGGTCATGAGTTCGAAGCCAGCCCAGGTTGGAGTGGGTTTCCAACCAATTGTGTAGCTTGTTGTCGACCTTTGCAACCCGAAAGACAGTTGCATCTGTCAAGTAGGAAAATTAGGTACCACCTATGTGTGGGGAGGCTAATTTAACTAATTTATGAGGCCATAAAAAAGACTCCAGCAAAGCACTCCAGCAAAAGCATGCGGGGAATGCGGAAGTACTTCATCAGTGTCGCAGATGGACAATGGAAGCAACAGCTCCCCTGGCGGCCAGAAAAGTTAAATAGCCTCTGACTGTCTGTCTATATGTGTTGTGTGTCTTTGCATTGAATGTTTGCCATATATGTATACATTGTAATCCGCCCTGAGTCCCCTGCAGGGTGAGAAGGGCGGAATATAAATACTGTAAATAAATAATGACAAAGTTCTGTTCCTGGCTTGAAAGTGTGTGTTCCTGTTGTATTGTGCAGTGCTGACTTGGGCAAAATGGTCCTATCCTGTAAACTTTGTGTGGTAGATACTTCATGAAACGTTTGGAGCTTCTCAGGCCAGGACAAAGAATTGAACTTTTGCAGTGATTTGCTGTAGCGATTCTCTGCATCTTGACGTTTTTTAACTAAAATAAATAAACCGCTGGAGTTTTCAGTGGAAGTCCCACGGTGGCCATCTTGGGAGACTCTAAGTCTTGCAACAAAGCATCAAGTCTGGACAACAAGGCAGAAATCTCGGGATCAACAGGTCTGTATGTGGACCTCTTGTGAAGTCCTGGGATTTTTTGCTCCTGTTTAAAACCCGTAATTTAGTGCTGTCTAGAAGTGTCCTTAGGATAACAGGTGCTTTTAAAATATATTTAAATAAAGCTTTTGTCTGTTGGTGGTACTCAAATTAGTGCGCATCTTAGTATCAATGGCGTCTGAGAATCGATGAAATACAGTGTGTTATACCCACTACATGCTACACTTTGAAATACCCACTTCTTGAACACAAAAGGCTGTCTTCAGGCCATTCACAAAATCAGTTATCACACCCAACGTACCAATGTTCCTGGCAATTTTGCAACATCAACTCTACTCTAGAGATGAGACTCACTGTTGTAGTTTTTAACCAGTTTTCTAACACTCCTTTATTCCTACATACATTCATTTTGGGAAATGGTCCTCCAGACATGTTGGACTTCATCTCCCACCATGGGCTTCTAGGAGCTGAGGTCCAAAATGCCTGGAGGATTCAACATCGAGACCCTACCGACTGAGTTCCTTAAAGGGAGTGAGGAAGGGTTTCCATTCTGATCTGTCTGCTCTGTGTCCTCTCTCCTATTTCCGAGAGTTGGGGGAGACCAGGGGACATGTCTGTTACGGACGGAAGCCTTTGTCACCTTCTCTGTGGAGGCCCAAGCGCCCATGGTGGAGCCTGAGCTGACAGAGGTGGGGGAACTGCACTCGCTCACTGACTGGCACGTTTCAGAGGCTTCGGAGGAGGCCGAGCTGGACGAATTCTGCTGGGATTGTTAAAGAAAAGAGCCACAAAGACGAAAACAGAAGTGGCACCACAAACGACAGGAAGAAAAAAAGGAAGAAGAGAAAGAGAAACAAAACAGGAAGCCATCAAAACAAAACCCAACACAGCACAGAGGAACAAATACAGACAACACGGGACAAGAAGGAGGAGAGAAGTAAAGTGTTAGGACGGGTTAAGAAAAAAGCATAAATCATTAAGCACAGCTGATAGCTTTCAAGACTGGTCAGTAACGGTGCAACAGAGACAAAAGCTACGGGGGTCTAAACGCCAGAGGCTTATAAGTCCATTGGGATTGCAAGCCAGATCCTTGATGAACTTTCAGTTTCAACACAGGGAGCTGCAAACTGCTGAAGCCAGTACTCCCTAAACTGTCATCAAAGCAGAATATCAGACAGACATATATGCTGAAGTTACCCAGCCGTCTAGGAAAACAGGTGAGGCATGAGATGCCTTTGCCGTTGATATTTGGAGGCCACAGTGATGATGGCATTGATGGAAATGTCACAATGCAAGGCCTTCCTTTTGAGATCGCTAAAGCAAACGTGATACAGTAGAGTCTCGCTTATCCGACCTTCGCTTATCTGACATTCCGTCTTATCCGACGTCCCTCTTTTCCTCCAGCATTTCCCCTTCAATTAAAGAAGAGTTCCCAACTCTTTCTCCATTCCCAATAAATGAAAAGGGCAAAATGAGGAGGAGGAGGAGGAGGAGGAAGGGATGGAGGGAGGGAGGGACGAATAGAGGCATGACCGGAAGCGGAAGCGTCCTCCCTCCTTCTCTTTGTGATTTCGGGACTGTGGCGCAGCTGGCTGACAGTCAGCTGCATTAAGATCACTACTGACCGAATGGTCATGAGTTCGAAGCCAGCTCGGGTCGGAGTGAGCTTCCAACCAATTTTGTGTAGCTTGCTGTCGACCGTTGCAGCCCAAAAGACAGTTGCATCTGTCATGTAGGAAATTTAGGTACCGCTTATGCGGGGAGGCAAATTTAACTAATTTACGAGGCCATAAAAATCTCCAGCAAGCATGGAAAGAATTAGGAAGTACTTCATAAGTGTTACAAATGGTCGGTGAAGGGACAGCTCCCCTGGTGGCCAGAATACTCTCAAGAAAAACTGGAGTGTTAAAATTGCCTCTGTGTCTGTCTATATATGTCGTGTATCTATGGCATTGAATGTTTGCCATGTATACGTACATTGTAATCCGCCCTGAGTTCCCTGTAGGGTAAGAAGGGCGGAATATAAATACTGTAAATAAATAAATGAATGAATGGGTTGTTGTTGGTTTCTTCAGGCTATATGACCATGGTCTAGAAGCATTCTCTCCTGATGTTTCGCCTGCATCTATATTCGCCATAGATGCAGGTGAAACGTCAGGAGAGAATGCCTCTAGACCATGGCCATATAGCCCGAAAAAACCTACGACAACCCAGTAATTCCGGCCATGAAAGCCTTCAACAATAAAATGAATGAATTTCCACGCTTTTCTTCCGCATCTGGGCACTTCCTACTGGTCTGCTCTAGCCCTGAGGCATTGCCTTGCCTAAACCCTTTGAGTCCCTGTTGTGAGTATTCTAGGTGTCTAGCGCCGCGTCGGACGGGTAACAGTAGGAGACTCCATATTATCCAACATTTCTGTTTATCCGACGTTCTGCTGTCCTGTTTATTTTGGAGAAGTGAGACTCTACTGTATAGGGATTACACGAGATAGTGCTTGATGCTGGAACTGAAAGTCCATATGGATTTGTCAAGGAAGAACCAGAAGCAAAATGCCAGCCTCCTGGCAGCTCTTACATGCAGATTTTTTAAAGGAGGAAAATCGGTAATTGCAATTTTAACACTGGAACTGTCTCCACAAGTATAACCAAGGGTTTTGCAAGCAAATCTATTTCTTCCAACAGAATTGCTTGGCTGCGTAAGAGCTGCTTAAGGGCACCCGGGTACAGATTAATCCTGGACTCCAAAGAGTTACTACACTAGGGGAAATTACTCATGCCATTGGTGGGCTACCAACCGTCATCTTCCCTCTCTGGCACTCAAGCCACTGTGTCAGTATGCTAGCACTATGCGCTCTGACAGCTTCGTAGTTTTGGACTGAGCTTTTCATGCTAAATGGGCAAGTTTCGTGGACAATCATTTCTCCCTTTCAGGTTTACGTTTTTGGATTCTCCGTGACATATCTCATTCAAAGAATCTTGTTTTTCTAACCCATGAGTAGTGAAATATCAACTCTTCATTGACTTAGCAAGTCCCTCAGCAACAGAGAACAGAATTCGCACAAACAAGGCACTTGAAATACGTACAAAGCATTGCCACCCACCACATCTATTCTCCACTTTCAAATATGGAAATATGGCATTGCAAGAGGTATTTTTCTGCCCTCATATTTATATCAAGCAAAAATTTCAAGACAAGCACCCATCAGTGACAAACACAAGACATATATTATACAATAAACAACATTGAAGGAATTTTGTCAAGTGTTACTTGGTGATGCCTGTGAGTAGTAAGACAGTCAAGCAAAACCAAAATATCCTACACACAAAAGTTATGCTTTTTGCTTCCAAGCTGAAATTATCATAAGAATCTCAGTATTTTACAGACCAAAAAAATCACAGAAAATCTCTACAACAAAGCTGAAGTTAGTTCCAATCAATATTCCAACTATACATTCTTTGCATGCATAGGGTGCGGCTTTTGGAAAGAGATCTAGAAAGTTCCTTTCCTGAGCTTCAAACTTTTTTATCCTACTACTTTTAACTATGATTAAATTAATTTTAAACTATTTTTGAGGATGTTGCTAACACAGGATATCCCAAAACTTTCCATACATATGAAAAAATAAACTCACAATATATTATAATACACAACTTGTATATTATAATATAATGTTTGTATTTAGATTAGATTCATATGCAAAGTAGTAAGGTAAAGGTTTCCACTGATATTTTAGTTGTGTCTGACTCTGGGGGATGATGCTCATCTTCATTCCTAAGACCAAGAGCAGGTATTGTCCGTAGACACCTCCAAGGTCATGTGGTTGGCATGACTGCCACCTTCCCGCTGAAGTGGTACCTACTGATCTACTCACATTTGCATGTTTTCGAACCGCTAGGTTGGCAGAAGCTGGGCCTCACAGTGGGAGCTCACCCTGCTCCCTGAACTTGAACCGCCAACCTTTCAGTCAGCAAGTTCAGCAGCTCAGTGGTTTAACCCGCTGAATCATCAGGGGGCCCTAAGGGAGACTATTTTGTAAATATTGTGCAAAATTTTGTGAAGAATATTTTGTAAATAAAGCACAGTTAGCCTCAATTTCCCATTTATTTATTTATGATATTTATGACATTTATATCCCGCCCTTCTCACCCCAAAAAAAACTCAGAGCAGCTTACAAGTTATATGTACATACAATATATTATATTAGCATAGCACAATATTAGTATTATATATTTCTATATTGTACTATACCACTATACTAGAATATATTAATAGTATTACATGTAATACATATATAATATAGAATTATTGTATTATATTCTTATTATTCATATTGTATTACAAAATTATGATAAATATTATATGTAAATACAATATATTATATTATCATAGCACAATATTAGTATTATATATTACTATATTGTACTATACCACTGTACTGCAATATTATTAGTAATATTACATGTAATATTTAATACATTTTCCTATGTACTTTTAAAACAGCCTGTAGTATTATTGTTCAATCGTTTTCTTCTTCTTCTAACATCTGTAATGTGTATTTTAGTTAACTGTTATCTTATGTTTTGTAAGCCACCTTGGATCCCTCGGTGGCAGAAAGGCAGGATATAAACAATCAAACAACTATTTCCTATATAACACTCTTCAAAATATTGCAGGGAAAAAATGACTCAGTTCACTTTGTAAAAGAAGAGGGACCTTGTTCAATGTTAGGCCTAAACGAACCCTACTTTGTACTTTTGGGGGGCTGTTGCATCAAGAGATAAGGCTAACTTTACTTCTTGACTGCCATTGGCCAACCATAAGCAAGGCTCAAATAGAATTCACTGACCGTAAAACAGAATGGAATCAAAAAGTGTGCAATGAGTTAAACCACTGAGCTGCTGAACCTGCTGACCGAAAGGTCACAGGTTCGAATCCGAGGAGTGGGGTGAGCTATTAGCCCCAGCTTCTGCTAACCTAGCAGTTCGAAAACATGTAACATGAGTGGATCAATAGGTACCGCTCTGGCGGGAAAAAAATGGTGCTCCACGCAGTCATGCTGGCCACATGATCTTGGAGGTGTCTATGGACAACGCCGACTCTTTGGCTTAGAAATGGAGAGGAGCACCAATCCCCAGAGTTGGACACGACTGGACTTAATGTCAGGGGAAAACCTTAACCTAAAAAGCCAAATATCCTAGGGCAGATGCCGCTAAATTGAGATTAGTGCACGGCTCTCAGAGATGGCGGAACATTACACAAATGCAATATTCTTAGGGGACCTTTGCAGAGAAGCAAAAGTCATCTCAGGCTCATGTGGGCGTCCCTCGACTTACCTGGCTTGGCGCTTCCGGCGGCATGGGGGACGGCGACTTGGACTGAAACGCATCCTGGGACATGAATCCGGAGTCGTGCGAGGACACGCTGGAGAGCCTCATGGGCGCCTGCTGAGGCAGATTGGAGCTGCGGTAGCGATAGTGTGAACTGGGTGAGTGAGAGTGCGAGCCGCTTGACCGGGAGTCACTACTGTTAACACTGTTCAGACTGCTGTGAGGCACAAGAGGGGAGAGAGATGGGGGCAAAGGGAAGAAACAAAAAAAAAGGGGGAGAGGGGGATCGGGGAAGAGACCAGCACAGGACAATTAACATTCCATGGTTCTCCTGCAAAAGGCATGCAGCCCAAATCATAAAAAACGGCACCGCTGGCAGAAGTAACTTGGGGGAGTTGGAAAGGACTGCAGTATCCTCAGTAACCAGATGGAAAATGGCAAATCAACACGAAGGAGTAGTGCTAGAACTCCATACTGCTTTGGACTGGCAGAGGGTCATCCGATTAGCTGCCTATGGCAAGTATGGGCTCTGAAATCCTCAGGAAACGTGCTTCTCTTAATCCCAGTACCTTCCCAGTAATAGTTGGTGGAAACATGCGACTTTGAAACTTTCTACTTATGGAGTCTAGCATTTGCTGTCTTCCCATTGGCAGGTTTTTTTTCATGTCATGAGCGACTTGAGAAACTGCAAGTCACTTCTGGTGTGAGAGAATGGGCCGTCTGCAAGGACATTGCCCAGGAGATGCCCAGATGTTTTATGATTCTTCTCTCATGTCCCCGCATGGGGAGCTGGAGCTGACAGAGAGAGCTCATCCGTGTTCTCCCCGGAATCGAACATCTGACCTGCTGGCCAAGGGTTCAACCCATTGTGACACCGGGGGCTCCATTGGCAGGTAAAGCCTTTTCTTAAAAAATTCAGACACTCTTTTACCAAAAGGACTATATTATTTTATATACTTTTGTATTATTTTATATAGTTTTGCTTAACTTAAAAAAAACACTAAAGCGTGCGTTTTTAATATGGCCAATAGTTTTATTCTTAACTTACGCTGAATTTTTATGCTTTTAACTGTAATCTTAATGTATTGTCGAAGGCTTTCATGGCTGGAATCACTGGTTGTTATGAGTTTTCCGGGCTGTATGGCCATGTTCTGGAGGCATTCTCTCCTGACGTTTCACCCACTTCTGTGGCAGGCATCCTCAGAGGTTGTGAGGTTTGTTGGAAACTAGGCAAGTGAGGTTTATGTCAGAAATATTAAGAATTAAATAAGTATTTTTAATTACAAAAATGTGAGTCAAGAACTGAAAGGGTTAAATGAATAAATGACTCAGCAAAAGCTGCAGTTCAATATATGCAGGTGTGCCTGTAGCTTAGTAGCCCTCAATCTGAGGGATCCCCGAAGTTACCACACCTCAGTGAGAAAGGTCTCAATCTGAGGTAGCCTTCGGAGTGAGAGAGGCCTCAGTATGAGAAGGCCTCAGTCATAGTAGGCCTCAGTGTGAGGTAGGCCTCAGTGTTAGTTTGCCTCAGGGTGAGAGAGGTGCCAGTATGAGAGAACCCTCAGTATGAGAGGTCTCTGTGGGAGAAGGGCCTCAGTGTTTTAGTAGGCCTCAGTGTTAGTTTGCCTCAGTATGTGAGACGCATCAGTCTGAGAGAGCCCTCAGTATGAGAAGGCCTCAGTGTGATGTAGGCCTCAGTGTTATTTTGCCTCAGGGTGAGAGAGGCGCCAGTATGAGAGAGCTCTCAGTATGAGAGGCCTCTGTGGGAGAAGGGCCTCAGTGTGTTAGTTTGCCTCAGTATGTGAGAGGCATCAGTCTGAAAGAGCCCTCAGTATGAGAAGGCCTCAGTGTGAGGTAGGCCTTGGTGAGAGAAGTCCCAGGTTGAACGCCATCATGTGTGAAGCTTCAGTGTGAAGGCTGCTGTGTGTAAAGCTACTGTGTGAAGCTCTTGTGTTAGTTCAGTGTGAGAAGAGGGTCTGTGAGGGCATAGTTATTTATCTACATGAGAAAGAAGCCCAGCGTGGAAGCAAAGAAGGAAGTGTAAAGATTCAAAGAACTCTATTTGTGCTGTGGAAACCTTGTAAATAGGAGAGAATGCTTATGGCCATACAGTCTGGAAAATTCACAACAACTCAAGGCTAACTACCTTGTGAAATGACAACTCCTCTGGTTCCAAAACATTGAGCAATGGTGGATAAGTGGTGTCAAACTGTGTTCATTCTACATTGTAGACGCACTCACAAGCTAAGATAAGAGATGTGGGTGTTGGTAATTCAGAGTGGAGTGTCTTACTTCACACTCAAGTAATCTGCTATGGTTTTGATAACAGTATCAACTGAACGTAGATTTGATTTTGGACAACACCTCCCAGTATCCTCAAGCCATTCTGGCCATGTCCATTCTGGCTGCTGTTTCAGGTAAGTAATTTTGCCAAACTCTCATTAGAAAATGAAGGGCACAACCAAAGAAGGTGATATCCATGTTATCTCCTGTGGATTTGTTTTAAAGGGAGATCCGATCTGAAACCAAGGGGAGGGCGCTACACTTTTATTTATCATTTAAATGCACCACAGGCGACCTGATCTCATTAAGGTTTTGCCAGCCGGCTGCTGCCAGGACTGTACCGCTGGCCATTTTACCTTTTACTTTGCAGGATATTGCATTGTTTAAGGAAAAAGCCTGCACTTGCCGCTGTCAGTATATATGGATCTATAGATCTCCTGTCTATAGATACTATACATATGCATGCACAGACAGCTATAGCTTTACGGAGGGCAAGGTGGGGGGGGGGGGGAATGCAAGGACTTTGTGGTCCACCATGCCACAGGGAACTCCAGCTCTCCAATCCAATGTGATTTGGAAGGCAAAGAAAAAAGAACATATAAGGTAGGAGCATTAGGGGCTAGGAAGAAATGCAAGAGGAGAACGTAACAGCAAAACCGTCTTCCTTTCGTTGGAGAAAAGGAGAGAATTGGGCAATATCTGTGCCTGGGAGGATGGAGGAGGGAGCATGCCGCCAAACTGTTTTAGCCGAGAGAAAACAGTTTCATGGGAGAGGGAGAAAAGGGACTTCAGTGCTCCCAACACACACATAAAATTAAATCTGAATTTAAACAGTGCTGAACAGTTAAGAGCTATTGCATTTTACAGTAAAGAAGCATTATTCCAACAAGTTCAAAGAGAAACATATTTTCAGAGAGAAAATAAAATATCTTGCAACTATCACATTGATTAAAAAACACACTAGTAAAGAGCATTACAGATTCACCTTCACAAGGTATTTGCAAGGAAGAGAGTCTATGCATCGGTAATTAGAAGGGGAATGAGTTCAATTGCAAATTGACACCACCTTTTCTAACTACTTTTGTATACAGTAGAGTCTCGCTTATCCGACATAAATGGGCCGGCAGAATGTTGGATAAACTGAAATGTTGGATAATACGGAGGAATTAAGAAAAGCCTATTAAATGTCAAATTACGTTACGATTTCTGTCCATTGATACAACAACCTTCCTTCTTTTCATTGCCATAATTGCGCAAAGTTCAGGGGGGGAAAAGTGCATAAACACTGCACAGCAACATGCAGCAAACCATTCTGCGTATTACAACAAACTGCACTAAGTGACTGTTAGGAAAGGCGAGACATGACTGACAGATTAATCGATTTAGTAATCTTATTTATTTATGTATTTTATCTACGATGTTTCTATCCTGCCTTTCTCGAACCCAAAGGTGACTTAAGGCAGCTTACAACCAGGCTAGATGTGTTTCACAGGCTATCTGGTGGACCTGTTGTAATCGATTTTTGTTTTGCGGTGCCTCATCGTTAGGAGCAATAAGAACGAGTAGAGTCACGCTCCCAAACAAGTGGAAGACTTTTCTCGTCACCAATTTATGCATTTTTTGTTGTTGTTGTTGTTTAGGGGTGTCAGATAAGACGGAATGTCGGATAAGCGAAGGTTGGCTAAACGAGACTCTACTGTAGCTGGTTAGTCATAATAACCCTCAGCAATTATATTTCATTGTATATACCAAAGGAAAAGAGTATAATAATTTTGTATTTTTGGTTTTTGAAAACTCAGAACTAGAGCTGGGGAAAGCTTCCGCATTGAAACTCTTGGAATCTCCCATCCCGTTATTGTTGGTTGGAGACCCTGGGAAAGGTCACTTGAAAAAGTAAATTTTCCAATCTCTGCACTGAACTCAACACTCCTTATCTTGAAGCTCAGGGCCCTTCCAGACAGGCCCTATATCCCAGGATCTGAACACAGGTTACCCAAAATATCTGGCAGTGCAGGATCATATAATCCAGTTTAAATCAGAAAACCCGGGATCAGATCCTGGGATATAGGGCCTGTCTGGAAGGGCCCTCAATGGCCCAAAATGTATGGGAGATGAGCAGTGGTTGCACTGTTGCCAAAGCTAAGGAGGTAAAATCAAGATGAATGCCTTTATCAGGAGTGGGCAACAGTGGGTGGCTTAAGGGGCCACACTAACACACACTTTTGCAAAAAAACAAAAACTCCACTCAACTTGTTGTCCCTAAAATATACTGTATCGGGCATGGAGGGCATTTTCTCCATGTCTGAAGAAGGCTGGCCCATTTTAAGACCACTTCCTGGGCCCACCCACCCTTAAACATGGAGAAAATGCTCCCAGTTGATTTTTTTTTCATGTCAGAAGCGACCTGAGAAACTGCAAGTTGCTTCTGCTGTGAAATGCCATAGATGGCATTTGGGGAAAGATTTTCAAATGAACTCTATGAGGCTCACAGGCTGAACTTTGCCCAATCCTGACCTCCATGACTATTACCTTAAATATCCCAAAGTCATAGTAGGATTCAAGTATAATACATTCCAAAAATTAAGCTTATCTTTAGAACGTGTAACCTTAAATATGGAGACCTCGAAGACAACGAGGATTTCTTGCTTACCTGCAGACGCTGGATTTCCTGGACATGGTGGTACTTGGAGAAGACGGAGGAGTCTGATAGGACCAGCCGTAATCAGAACCTTTCAAATCTAGAATTACCTGCAGAAGCAAAGATAGCCACGCAAGGTGTGAACATCAGTCACTCTGGTCCATGGTGGGCTAGAAACTAGTCCCCCCATTCCATCAAGAAATCCAGTGAAAATACCAGAATAGCATCTCAACTTGTTTCTAGCCTTACAGTTGAAGGGTGTGGACTTCTAATGACATTAGACTTTGGAACTCACTCCCTCGACTCTGGAACTCACTCCCTAAAGACATCAGACAGGCTCCAACTCTGGCAGTCTTCAGGAGGAGCTTGAAGATGTGGCTGTTCCAGTGTGCCTTCCCGGAATAATGATCCCATAACATTTTGTCCTCCAAAGTGCCCTCCACTTTACATTTCTTAAGTCTGCTCGTATGCCCTTCCACAAACACCAGTATCACCTTTTATTCATGTCCCAGCATTATTTCCAATTTTAACTCTACATTTGGCCTTCCCACTGTTTTTAATTATGTGTTGTTTTATTGATAATGTTGTGCATTTTATTGTCTATTTTTTAATTGCTTGTATTGTTGTTATTATTGCTTGTATTGTTGTGTTTGGGCTCGACCTCATGTAAGCCGCACCGAGTCCCTTGGACTACAAATAAAGTGTTATTATTATTATTAACCACTAGAACAGTGTTTCTCAACCTTCCTAATCCAGCAACCCGTTAATCCAGTTCCCCATGTTGTGGTGACCCCCAAACATGAAATTATTTCCATTGCTACTTCATCACTGTAATTTTGCTACTGTTATGAATATCTGGTATGCAGGATGTGTTTTCATTCACTGGACCAAATTTGGCACAAATACCCAATACACCCAAATCTGAATACTGGTGGGATTGGGATTGGGTTAGTATTGATTTTTTCATTTGAGAGTTGTCGCTGGGATTTCTAGTTCACTTACAATCAAAGAGCATTCTGAACTCCACCAATGATGGAATTGAACCTAACTTGGCACACAGAACTCCCATGACCAATAGAAAATACTGGAAGGGTTGGGGGGGGGGGAGCATTGACCTTGAGTTTTGGAGATGTAGTTCACCTACATCCAGTGAGCACTGTGGACTCAAACAATGATAGATCTGGACCAAACTTGGCACAAATCCTCAATATGTCCAAATGTGAACACTGGTGGAGTTTGGGGAAAATAGACCTTGAGATTTGTAGTTGCTGGAATTTATAGTTCACCTGCAATCAAAAAGTATTCTAAACCCCACCGACGATAGAATTGGGCCAATCTTCCCACACAGAATCTCCATACCTTGAAGGGACTTGCATAGTGCACATGTGCTCTCCCTTGCCTGCAGGTGTGCACTATGCTGTCATGTGCCGAGCACGCCTGCTCTCCCCTCCCTGCTTGGAGTTTCAGCCCTCCCCTTGGCTGAGAGGCCAGCCAATCACAGCAGAGGAAGGCTTTTGGTGCGAGAATTTGCTGTCTGTTTCCAAAAAGGAAGAGAAGGACAGGCGGAGAAATCTTCAGCCTTATCTGTGTTTTCTGATGGTCTTTGTTGACCCCTCTAAAAACCCCTCGCGACCCCCGCCCAGGGGTCCCGAGCCTCAGGTTGTGAAATGCTGCACTAGAACATAGAACTCCAAGGCGCAAGCTACTGAGACATTCTTCTGCAGGTCCCCAGATCAGATGGAGGGGAACTATATAAATAGAGTACTTGAAATGGATTGTAACCTAAGCTGTATCACTTCTGCTACTTTGGAGTTTAGTAGTCTAGAGTACATAAAAGTAGCACACTTCTTCTCAGTCACACACACCTGTTCACTTGATGGTGGCAGCTTGTGAGGGTCCATGGTGAGGCTTTTCAGGTCTTCTGATATGGTCTGCAGGTGAGTTATTTCTCCAAGCATGGATATTTCTTCTTCCTGGAAGAGTATCACCTTGTTGTAGGTTTTTCGGGCTGTATGTCCATGTTCTAGGAGCATTCTCTCCTGACGTTTGGCCTGCATCTATGGCAGGCATCCTCAGAGGTTGTGAGGTCTTCACAGGACCTCATAACCTTTGAGGATGCCTGCCATAGATACAGATGAAACATCAGGAGAGAATGCTTCTAGAAGCCACACATGCCACACAGCCCAAAAACCTACAACAACACAAGCAGCCTTTATGCTTGCAACAAAGCTTGGGATCATTAAGTGCTAGCAGTAATATGTGAGCATCCAAGGAAATTTATTCACTGGAGGAAAATGCAAAATTAATTTGTTGAATCATTAAATTAAATACTGTTTAAACTGACTCAAAATGTCCAGTTACAAATTAAAGTAACCGGAAATGTTAAGTCATTACTCAAGACTAATCAGAACATTGGTGTTTAACAATTAAACAAACAAATGTAAAAACTGCTCTTGAAATTTTTAATGAATTGAGCATAACTGATGAATTTTTAATGAATTAGTTGAAAGCTCTGCTCCAGAAAAGCTTTTTCAAATATTGTGCAGCCTTCTGCTTGATACTGTACACTATCTTGTCTCAATCCTTTCATATGTTTACTCTGCGACCACATAACTGCATATAAATAAATAAGTAAATACATCGCGAAAGAACAGCACTGAAATACATAAAACCGGGAAGACATTTTTTTGGGTTGTTGTAGGTTTTTCCGGGCTAAATGGCCATGTTCTAGAGGCATTCTCTCCTGACGTTTCGCCTGCATCTATGGTAAGCATCCTCAGAGGTAGTGAGGTCTGTTGGAACAAGGAAAAAGGGTTTATATATCTATGGAAGGACCAGGGTGGGACAAAGGACTCTTGTCTGCTGGAGCTAGGTGTGAATGTTTCAACTGACCACCTTGATTAGATTTGATGGCTTCGTGACAATGGTTAGATACGGGAGATTTAACAGCATCCCTTATAATGAACGGAGTTGTATCTGCGGGGCACCTGAAATTGAGGATATAGCACACATATTGTTTGATTGCAAATTGTATCAAAAGGTGAGAGACTTCCACCTTGGTCCATATATCAAACGGACAATGTATTGGGAATCTCACATCAGAACATCATATTTTATGTGTGGCCAAGACCCAAAATAACATATAAAACAGCTCTGTACTTAAGCAAAACAATACGTCTGAGAACCACATATGTAGGGCTGATTGGGGTAAATTGTAGGGGTGATAATGAAATATGATGTATATACTCAGCTTGATCAGTTTATCAGTTTTATCATGTCTTATCATATGTATTTACTGTATTATTATAAGTGTCTTATTTTAACTTTCTATGTGGAGTGTGATCAGGTCTTGTCAGGCCTTGTTGTTTTGTTTCTTATTGTGATATGGCCTAAGGGCTAATCAATAAAATTACTACTACTACTGCCTGCATCTATGGCAAGCATCCTCAGAGGTAGTGAGGATGCTTGCCATAGATACAGGCGAAACGTCAGGAGAAAATGCCTCTAGAACATGGCCATATAGCCCGGAAAACCTACAACAACCCAGTGATTCCGGCCATGAAAGCCTTCGACAAGACATTTTTTTGCTTTCAAACTCAAGCGAATGGGGGGAAAGTTGAAAACAAAACTCACGATGACAGGCCGTAGCATGGAGATGAATGAGCAGAATCGGCCACGTTCTTCAATCAGGGCTTTCCGAACGGCCTGCTTCTCTGTTTCTTCAAGAAGTAGGTATTTATCATTCACGTCCTGTAACGCGCTGTCCAGTTGAGGCTGGATGTCTCCTCTACCTATTTTACAATGATGGAAAAATAATAGTGGTTTTAGGCTCAATCAACCCCCAAGAAAGTCTATGAATACCTGGATTGTTTCTTCCACACAATCCAAACTCATCAAGGTGCCAATCCATGAAATCCCAGCATGGCTTCTTATGTTTTCCATGCAGACACATCTAAGTTGCCCCCGACAGCGATCAGTCGAATTTCAAATACGCCGCCACCCCTTGAATTGGCTTCCCCTTTCAATTTAATTTGGAAGACCTCAAAGGCAACTCCAAACAAGACATTCATTCCTGCATTTCAAAAAACAGTCAATTCAAAAGACGACACAGGTGAGGAGAAGAGAAGGAGAAAGGGTTTGGAAATTTTATTACTAAGGTAGTGAATCAATGATGGTTTGTGCTGAAACGTGTACATCAAGATGGGAGGAATTCAAGCTGTGTGTCTTTGATTGGGGAACAGGGAGAATACAGATCCAAAGGAACACATATAAACCTATAAGAAATCGTGTCCCCATTTCTCTCTTCCGCATAACCGTAAGTCAAAGGAGTCGTATTTCAAAGGTAATAGGTAATAATGACTCGGAACAATACAGGCTGTTTTGATATAATGAGAGAGATATTTTAACTAACTTTAAAAGTCATTTTAAAGGGAATTTTTAGGGAGTTTCAGAAGCACAGGGAAAGTTTTCTGCCACTGTCTCTTAAACAACCACATTTGAGGACTGAGTGAAAAAGTTTGCAAGGGTAGGGATGGGTGCATAGAAGAGATGTAGCTTATCAACTGTGTGCCACAGCCATCGGTGGTGCAATGGGTTAAACTCATGTGTTGGCAGGACTGCCGACTGAAAGGTCGGCAGTTCGAATCCGGGGAGCAGGGTGAGCTCCCATCTGTCAGCTCCAGCTTCTCATACAGGGACATGAGAGAAGTCTCCCACAGGATGGTAAAACATCCGGGCGTCCTCTAGGCAGCGTCCTTGCAGACGGCCAATTCTCAGACACCAGAAGTGACTGGCAGTTTCCCAAGTTGCTCCTGAAACTATAAAAAACCTGTGTGCCTTCAAGTAGTCTTCAATATATGGCGACTCTAAAGGAAACCTATCTCTGAGGGATTTTTTGGCAAGACTCATGGAGAGGAGGGTTTGCAATTGCCTTGTTCTGAAACTGAGACAGTATGATTTCCTCAAGGTAACCCAATGGACTTTCAGGCCACATGAGGAACCCAACTCTCTCTGATTCCTAGTCCAACACTCAAACCACTACGTCTCCAATGTTAATTGCAAATGGGGTTATGCACTTAAGATGCTTTAGGACAGCATTACTCAACCTGGGCTTCTTCCAGATTTGTTGGATCAGGCGTCCAACAGTCCGCATTCTGTTGGACGCCTGATCCAACCTCACAACCTCTGAGGATGCCTGCCATAGATGCAGGCGAAACATCAGGAGAGAATGCTTCTAGAACATGGCCATACAGCCCAAAAAACCTACAACAACCCAAAGATATTGACCTTCAAGTGTGTGCACAGCTCTTGTCTTCTGTCAAACTCATAATGGGACCACTTCCATAATATGATGAAGTTTTTAGATTCCCAAGGAAAACATGTGAATCTTCAAAAGATGTAGTTCAGAAGTTACCATTAAGGCTAACAACAGAATTGAAGTTAGCACATATTAGAAATGGCAACCTTCTCAAACCTCCACTAGTTATTTGTTATGTATAAAATTGCTCAATGTATTGTATGTGTGTATTGGTTTGCAATTTTACCTAACCTATTTGTTGTGGGAGGGGCTGCAGACCATGTGATCAGAACTGGACATGTTCAGGACTCAAGACCCCATTTTAGAAAAGTAGAAGCTATTAGACTCTTAGAAAGTGGAGAAGCCATCTGATGCCTTTAGACTTCAATGCAGGCACAGTATGCTTAGAGACTTATTAGACTCTCAAAGCAGAGTGATACTTTGCACTATGGACTATTGATTCTAAGAATATGCCCTGTGTTATCTGCACAGAGAAACTACTACAAAATCCTATTGTAACTGGATTCATAAGCAAAGGGCATGTACGCTGTATACATGAAGTTTGTGAGTAAACCAACTCTGTTACTTTTAAAGAAGACTGTTTATTTTGTCTCTTGAGAGCATGATTTGAAAGTAAATATATTTTAAGGGAGAGAAGATGTTTTGGGGCATCTAAAGGAACACTTCTGAAACTCTACTAAATGAATATGTGCATTGGCATGTCTTTATCCCTGACAGTTCAAAGACATACCCAGGCAAATCAGTTTAACAGCTGAGAAATCTACCTGCGTTGCATGAATGCCATTTTTCCAAAAAGGTTGTGACTTCTAACAAGGTCATGCCTTTCCTATGACCATAAGGTTATGAATCTCATTTCCCAAATGGTTATGGAGATTCACATTTTCCAAAAGCATGAGACAGCAGCTGATTACATTTCCCTTTTAAAACTTTTGAACCTGGTGGTATACTACTATAAATGTGGTGTAGCAAAAAAGCATGCAAGAGAGTCCGGCAAGAAAGTTTGCTGATTCAAAAATATGCCTTGATTTAAGGAGTGGCTGATACTCATAGCCAGTAAACTTTGTACATAAACCTCTTCAATAAAGTAATATATAAGCAGTAAAGCCAACTGATGAAGTGTTAAAGGCACAGTTGGTATTTCTCAGCCTATCTATATACCCACATATGGCTCATAATCAAAATCCTTTGGCTCCATTTTCATGGCTTGTTTCAGCCAACTTGACTCCACACGACTAACTTTTCATTCATTTAGAGACCCTACCACTTCTGCTATGTTAAAGGAATGAGCAAGGACCACATTTAGTACATTTGCCAGGGTCGTGATCTATCACATTCAGGCAGTTGCCAAGACCCAAGCTCTGCCATATTTGTTCTAACTCCGTTAAAAAAAAATCTCTGGGGTACAGATGGCACATTCCAATTGTCAGAAATATTAAAATAGGTATTTTTAATTACAAAAATGTGAGTCAAGCACTGAAAGGGTTAAATGGATGCAATGATTCAGCAAAAGCTGCAGTTCTATATAGCAGGCGTGCCTGTAGCTTAGTAGCCATCAGTTTGAGGTAAACTGCAGTGGGAGAAAGGTCTCAGTATGTGAGAAGACCTCACAGTGTGAGGTAGGCCTTAGTCTGTGAGAGAAGCCTCTGTGTGAGGTAGGCCTCACAGTATGAGGTAGATCTCAGTCTGTGAGAGAAGCCTCTGTGTGAGAAGCTTCAGTGAGAGCAAGCCCCAGGTTGAAGGCCTCATGAGTAAACCAGTGTGTAAAGCTACTATCTGAAGCTGCAGTGTAATTTTGGTGTGAGAGGAGGCTTTGTGAGAGTGAAGCTGTTTTATCTACATATGAAAGAAACCCAATGTGGAAGCAACAAGGGTTCAATGAAAAGTAATGCCTCCACCTTCGTACTGGCTTGTTCAGTAGACTCTCCTCTACAGTTCCATTTCCATACAGTTCCAAAGCTTTAGCACTGAACGGTTGTGTTGTTAAAGTGCGAAGTATGGAATCCTGCGCAGATGGTCGGTCGATGCAACTTAAGCAACATGCAGTCATTGAATTCTTGAAAGCAGAAGGTGTCACCTCAACATCTTTAAACTTGCTCGCCCAACGACGCACAGTACTCACATCATCACAATCACTATAAACAGTTTGCATTCTCTGATGAATTTCTTTGGGGTGACACCTTCTGTGGTCAAGAATTCAATGACTGCACATTGCTTAAGTCGCATCGACCGACCGTCTGCGCAGGGTTCCATACTTCGCACTTTAACAACACAACCGTTCAATGTTAAGGCTTCCCGCCAAAATGGAATTGTTGAGGAGAGTCTACTGAACAAGCCAGGACCTGCCGCATACCAGTACTGCCATCTCTTGAGGAGTTATGAAGGTGGAGGCATTACTTTTCATTCAACTCTCGTATAAAGAACTTTATTTGTGTTATAGAAACACTGTTCTTGTAAATAGTTCAACCATATTATGTATTATTTTACTATAAGAAAAGCTTCCAATGGAAGAGATAGCATGGGTCTATGTGTTTTGTTCTTTTTATTACTTTGGGCTACTGACGTTGGGTCACGCTGATGCTAATACGTTACTCTGCTGTACATTTATGAGGAGGGTCTTTTGTTAGTAAGCCCACTCACCCAACATCAATCTTGCTTATGCCTATGATCATAGAATCATAGAATCATAGAGTTGGAAGAGACCTCATGGGCCATCCAGTCCAACCCCCTGCCAAGAAGCAGGAATATTGCATTCAAATCACCCCTGACAGATGGCCATCCAGCCTCTGTTTAAAAGCTTCCAAAGAAGGAGCCTCCACCACACTGGGGCAGAGAGTTCCACTGCTGAACGGCTCTCACAGTCAGGAAGTTCTTCCTCATGTTCAGATGGAATCTCCTTTCTTGTAGTTTGAAGCCATTGTTCGTGTCCTAGTCTCCAGGGAAGCAGAAAACAAGCTTGCTCCCTCCTCCCTGTGGCTTCCTCTCACATATTTATACATGGCTATCATATCTCCTCTCAGCCTTCTCTTCTTCAGGCTAAACATGCCCAGCTCCTTAAGCTGCTCCTCATAGTGCTTGTTCTCCAGACCCTTGATCATTTTAGTCACCTCCTCTGGACACATTCCAGCTTGTCAATATCTCTCTTGAATTGTGGTGCCCAGAATTGGACACAATATTCCAGGTGTGGTCTAACCAAAGCGGAATGATGTTCAAATGTACTCTCCAGCATGCTCTTTAATGACATACAGCTCATGCATAATATGCCCATTTCCAAAAAAAGTCTCCATTTTCAACATTGCAGTGAAAGACAGTCCTAGGTTAGGATGTCCGAATTTTTCCCCATGAAGAGAAAGGATTAAGCCAACCCTGCTCACTGCTTTGTATATGCTAAAACTAGCAATCTCTAACACAAGTCCAATCTACTGACGGTTACTCATGATGTCCACACAAGAGATACCCAGTGACCATTAGTGGAAC